TTTTTTTTTTTTTTTACTTTTATCTCTGTTTTACGCCAGAAATCTGCTGTGTACACCCCCTTGGCGCGGCTTCCAGGCTTCTGGATGGGGACACGCGCCTACACGACCGGGGGATGGAAAGTACGAGAAGCAGGAACTACACACGAGAGCTGTGGAAATCCGCGTCGCCACTGAGTGTCATTCTTTCTCTTTCGGCCCTTATTCTAGTGGAATGCTGTGGGCGCGGCTGTGCTTTGGTTTGATATTGTCGTTGCTCCCCCCCTTACTTTGTGTGTGCGTCGGCATGTGTGTGTGTGTGTTTATGCAATTCTGTTTCTCTCTCTCTCTCTCTCTGTGCGTGTGTGTGTTCTGCGCCGTTGTGGTGATACAACGCGAGAAGGGCATTCATTCAACCGTAAAACCACAAATACAGACAGGGAATACCATGCAGTTGAACAATAAAACCGCCGCCCATCTTCCGTCGCAGGTGCAGTCACTGGAGTTTGACCGCAGCAAGCTGACCCCCGGGATCTTGCATTTTGGCGTTGGGCAGTTCTGCCGCGGGCACCTGATGTTGTACCTGCGCGACATCTTTCGCCTCTCTGCTGCCGAGGACGGCCGCTACAATGACTGGGGCGTCGTGGGTGTGAACGTCTTGGACGGGCCCAACGAGAAGAAGATGTTTCATGACTTCAAGAAGCAGGACTGCTTGTACACGCTCACCATCACACCAACCTCAGGAGAGTCGGAGCACTGCTTGATGGGGTCAATGGTCGACTACATCTTCGCCCCGACCGAGCAGACAAAGTTGCTGCAGATGGTTGCCGACCCACGTATCAAGATCGTCTCGCTCACCATCACAGAGGGTGGCTACAACATCGACGAGAAGACGAACACCTTTGACGTAACCAACAAGGATGTGCAGCGGGACCTGAAGAACCCACATGCACCAACCACCACCTTTGGCTACATCGTCGAGGGTCTCCGCCGCCGTCATAAGTCCGGCGTGGCGCCGTTCACAATCATGTCGTGCGACAACCTCCGCCACAACGGCGACGTGGCGAAGAAGGCGATTCTCGGCTATGCGAACGCCCTTGACGCGGACCTGGCGTCGTGGATTGAGTCCAACGTGAAGTTTCCAAATAGCATGGTTGACCGCATAACACCTGGCACGACGCCACAAATCCGCGAGCGGCTCAACAAGATGACCGGAGTTGATGACGCACAACCGGTGCTGGCGGAGGACTTCTATCAGTGGGTGCTTGAGGACAAGTTCAACAAAGGTGTGCGTCCGCCGTGGGATCGTGTGGGCGTGACGTTCTCCGACGACGTGGCCGGTTACGAGCAGGTCAAACAGCGCATCCTGAACTCCTCGCACATCATGCTGACGTGGCCTGCGCTGCTTCTCGGCTACCAGTACATCCACGAGGGCATGGAGGACACCGATGTCAGCCGGCTTGTGGAGGAATCCCTTGACAAGGACGTCCTCCCGACACTGCGGGCGCCGGCGGGTATGGACCTCGTGGCGTACAAGAACAAGGTGCTCTCACGCTTCAAGAACCACGCTCTCGGTGACCAGTTGCTGCGCGTTGCCGGAGACGGCTGCTCCAAGGTGCAGGTCTTCTGGACGGTCACCATAACAGCGGTTTTGAAAGACAAGCGCGATCACTCACGCTTCGCATTCGGCATCGCGGCGTACATAGAGATGCTGAAGGGCAAGGATGAAAACGGCCGCGTGTTCCCTGTGGTCGAACCAAAATTGCCAGTGGGTTACGAGGCGCTTGCGAGCAGCTCTGATTTGGCCGCGCCGCTGCAGCTTCCCGTGTTCGACTCGTGGCGTGCCCTCGACCACGCGCAGCTAGACAGTGACATTGTGAAGTACCGCCGTCTCATCCAGAAGCACGGTGTGCGCGCGGCGATGCCATGGAAGGCAGAGGGTTTGTCACACCCTTAAAATGACCCCGAGACCCGCCAATGGGAGAGCGTTCGACATCTTTTTTATTATCATTTTTATTCTTCGTTTGGCACCTTGCTGTGTTTTTGTCTCCTCTCATCCATCCGTGTGTGTGTGTGTGTGTGTTCGGTGCTGGGAGGCGGTAACGCGCACGGAAAGCCACCTCCCCTCTGCCCACCGCATTCAGGAGCAATACCCCCTTTGCAAAACAACAAGCGTGAACAAAAGGAAAATCCAAAATGAGAAAACGATTGTTTTATTTTTAGTTTTTGGTTTTTTTTTCTGCGGGGGAGGAGGGGGTGGGGGGTAAGCGGTACTGACCCCTCTCTTTGTTTTGAGTGCCATGGGGCTTTTTAAGTGCTCCTTCCAAGAGTGCCTGTAAATGGTGTAGCGCGGGTTTGCGATTTCTCGCCCCTACGGTGTTGCGCCGCGTTGCCGTGTCCGTCCCCGGTTGTGCCCCGCCACTGCGTGCCCCCAAAGAAAGAAGGAGAAAACGAGACTCTGTCGTGGTGGACAAGGCCAAGGGGAAGACGAAACGGGTACGGCGCCGTCAAGAGTGGGAAGCAATGAATGACGATGGAGTGGAAGGATTGCGATGATCAAAAATGAAGACTTGGCGCGGGGTTTTTGTATTCGTAGGAGTGGTGAGTGTTTTTGTTGTTTTTTTATTCTTTTTTTTTTTGCTATCTGCTGGAATGTCTGCGGCATCGATGCCCTCTTGCCGAAGTGCTTGCATGTTTCTCTCCCCTTTTTTTACTTTTTTATTTGCTTCTGTATCAATGTGAGAAAGTGAGTGAGTGAGTGAAGTGAGTGAGCGGACGAAGAGAGATCCGATCACTTGACGTGTGACTCGAAGTAAAGTAACACGGAGACACACACACACACACACACACACCAGGAAGCCGATAAGAGCGGAGCGGTGTCTCTTGTAGTAACCGCAAGCAGCAACAGCCAAGCAACACAGAGAAGAAAGGAATAAATTGCATAAAGTAGGAGTGTCGAACGAGGTACCAAAAACCACATAGACACGAAGGAGTAGAACATCGAAAAAGCGAGAATATTGGTTTGGGTTTAAAAAGGACAGTACTGCACTGCAACGGGAAGATGACCGTGGCAGTGGACCTGTTTAGCCAGGCAAAGTCGCACAGCAGCGAGGGGCACTTGTGGGCCGCTGATGCCGCAACGTTCATGGAGGTTCCCGAGACGCCGCGTGTGCTTGCAGACTCGCAGTGCTATCTCGCCTACACCATGAAGAAACGGCATGTGCTGCGCGTTGTACAGCGTGCTGACCTCAAGAAGGGCACTGTGCGGCTCCATACCACGCCGATCCATGCGGTGCGGTTCGTGAACTATCGCAGCAACGTTGCAGCTTCCGCCGGTGAGGGCGAGTTCTTCGTGTGGGTCGTGACAGACGAGGAGGAGTGCAGCACTGGTAAGCCGAGCACTGACGCGCGCCTCACAGTGAAGGTATACTTCAAACTTCAGGACCCTATCACCATTCCGTGTTTCGCCTTTTTCATAAACGCCGAGAGCAAGCGGCCAGATCTGCTCATGCTGTATGACACGCAGGCGTCAATTCTCGAGAGCTCTGCTCTCATTGCACGCTACGGAGGGGAACCGCTGGAGGCCACGTTGGAGCGCAACGGCAGGACACTACGGACGCTAAGCCGCGCGGCGGGTGAGGGCAGCCTGTGCTCTGTCGGCTCAGACGGCTGGTTCGCCTTCACGACGGGGCCGACGATGGTGGCGGCATGCACACTGCAGAACCGCAGCACCCCGTCGTGGCTTGTCACCGAGGGCGAGCCGGTGACGGCGCTGCACCTCCTCGACACCGCAAAGGAGGAGACAACGGCCATATTAGTGGCTGCGTCCGCGCAGGCGGTGTACCAGTGGTCGCTCACCGGCGTGGCGGAGCCAAGTCTGCTGCGCAAGTTCGTCGTGCATGGGTCCATTGTCGCGATGGAGAGCTCACGTGAGAGCTTCGCTGTGTTTGACGACAAGCAGCAGTTGGCGCTGGTGACTATGCAGTCTCCCAACAATTTTACGTGCACTCACTACGCGATGCCGTGTCAGGTTCGGCGCGGTGGTATCTGCTTTAACCGTGTTGGTGAGAGCAGCTGCGTGCTTGCCGACAAGTCTGACAGGCTGACAGTGTTTCACTTGAAGGCCTCTTCGTCGTCCGCTGCCGCTGGAGAGCAGGGTAAGGTTCAGGAGCAGGAGCAGGAGCAGGAGCAGCAGCAGGTTTCAAAACCCGCGCCGGTGGTGACTACGGCGCCTGCGGCGACAACTGTAACGAAGAATTCTGAGCACCGCACAGGAAACAGTATCATTGCAAACTTGGTGAACCAGCTCGGACTTCGGGGGTCTCCGTCCAACCCCGCCGCCGCTGCTGCTGCTGCTTCTGCTGAGATGGCGGCGGCGGTGGTGACGGCACCTGCTGCGCCTCAGCGTTCAAGCCCGTATGGACACAGCAGCCGCCCCGTGACAGCTGGTTTAGCTGCTACGGGTGGCAGCAGTACATCACCGTCGTCAGCAACTGCAGCGGCTGCAACAGCAATTACAGACGCACTAGCAGCATCGACTGGAGAAGGAGCTGCTGCTCCTGTGACACGTCCGGCACTTCATAACGCCACACTCCCACAGGCACCGACAGACGGTGTTCTGGCTGCTGCCGTCCACCAGTCCGAGGATGAAGTGCGAGAAGCGCTGGAGCAGCTGGAGTCCGCTATGGCCAACACGGCCCAGATTCTGCAGCTGGTTCCCGAAACCGTTCGGCGCGACCACGAACAGTTGTTGAATCTCAGCTTAGAGGCCCAGATGACAGAGCTCCAGCAAACGCTGCATACAACCCTGCCACAGCAGCAGGCTACAGGTGGCGCGAGAACGTCGGTGTTCGGCACCTACGCGATCATGATGATAATGGATTCACTCTCCCGCAACATAGCGAAGGGCGTGACACGTGGTGTGGAAGAGGCGATGACGCTGCACCTTGACCACGAGGTGCGGCACGCCATAGGAAACCGCGTGCGCAACACGCAGAAGCAGACCATCAAGAATCGCCTGGACGAACTGCTGAAGGAGAGCACCTCCCAGTTTGCGTCGCAGGTGGAGCAGACGGTGCAGAGTTTGGTGAAGCGCGAGCTCGCGGAGGTGCTTGGTGGCATCAACACCTCCCTCACAACGCTGGTGAATGAGAACAGTCGCCTCCAGGAGGAGCTGCAATCTATTATGTCCAGCGGTGTCGTGGAGGAGCTGCGCCATACTCGTGAGGAGCTGCGCACGCTGCGGGAGTCCGTTTCGAATCAACAGGCAATGTCGGCTGGTGCTGCGGCGTCGCTGCACGCAACGAGCGCCTTTCAAGGCCAGCGGCCCACACCGGAGACGATTCTCTCTACCGCGCAGTTATTCATGCGGGAGCAGCAGAAGTACCGTCAGGGGTTGGAGTACCTCCTCCTTGTTAACCAGGCACCACTGCTTCTGAAGTTCCTCACAACGCTTAACCGGGAGCACGAAGGTACGTACTCTGAGCTCATTGAGGATGCGGCGACGCCGAACGAGGTGTGGTGCCAAGTGCTGCTGCAGCTTGTGGAGGCGGCGACAACAACTGAGGAGAAAGAGTCCGTCGTGAGCGTCGCGATCGACATCCTCTCGGAGCGTGAGCGGCTGCTGCAGAGTGGTGCGCAGGCGGCGAAAGTCGCTGCGGCAATGCGGGCGTTTGGGCGCCAGGCGCGGGCGGAGGCGACGAGCGCCTCCTTCCTGCAGTGCCTAAAGAACTTAGAGAAGCTGCTGCAGTAGCAACGGCAACAGAAGCCGCGTCACATACATACACACAGACGCAACTGAGCGAGTTGGTAAGAATCATTCAACGAGAAGAAGGGTAAAAAAGATATATATATATATATATATATATATTTGATTATTTGGTCCCCCTCCAAGGGAAGGAAACGAAAAGAAAAAGAACGATGGAGTCGAAAGAAAAAAAAATACGGAAAAAAAAAGAATCATAAAGCGGGAGGGTGCGGCGGCAGGCGCGGCTTTTAGGGTTGTTACATTCTCTCACAATACTTGTAACGGGCTCCCCCATTCACACACAGGCACACGCACGCACACACACCAGGGCGCGCACCCCTGCGGACTCCGTCAGCCGGTGTCTGTGGCCGGGGTGGGTGGACAGCGGTGATACATGGCGCAGGTGGATACGCGCGCTGCACCAACAGTGGTGGAACATGGTGCGGGAAGACCGTTTTGTTTTATTCTTGTTTGCACCTCTTTATCCGTGTCTGTCGGCCTCTCTCTCCCTGTGTGTGTGTGTGTGTTTATATGTAACCGTGTGGTTGTGCCTGCGTTTCCTCTGCGTTGCGGCAATCCACCGATGGGCCTCTTGCCCCCGGCTATCTGCTGCGTGGTGTGGCGTTGTCTCTGTTGCCTGCGCGAGAGATGATGATAAGAGAGTGCCCGGTGGGCGTGGTGCTCTGCCCACACGTTTATATATATATATATATATATATATATATAAACGATATCAACACAGATGTGCGATGTGTGGCCGCGAAAGTGTGTTGTTGCTGGTGCTGGTGCGACAGCCATGCCTTCCTTCTCTCCCTTTGTTCTCGTGTTGTTGGGCTCACGTGAGGAGGGACGGCAGTCCGAGCGGTTCGCATAGGGAGGGACACACAGTAGCAACAGAAGAGTAGAGAGAGGAAGAGGAAGAAGAGGGGTAAAAACGCAAAAGGAAGAAAAACAACGGAAATAGGTAGCTGTTGCTATCTCTTCCTNAGAGAGGAAGAGGAAGAAGAGGGGTAAAAACGCAAAAGGAAGAAAAACAACGGAAATAGGTAGCTGTTGCTATCTCTTCCTCTTCTATCTGCGCTCCTGGGTTGGTGTCTTGCTGCTGCCAGGTATCGCCTTGGCGTTGTTCCTTTAGGGTGCACGGGAGCACGGTCCACTCTGCAGGCAGACGACGTGGCGAGGCGCACTGCGGCCCACACACAGGCACACAGAGAGGGAGAGAGGGGTGCATACAGCTAATAGCAGCCACGTCCACACACACAGGCACGCAAACAAAACCCCCTTTTTATTTCTCGTCTAGTTTTTTTTTTTTTTTTTAGTTCTCTCGCTTCTTTAACTTCTTTTTGCTCTTGCTTCTGTGCGTGCATAACGCCTCCCCCACTCGTCCGTAACAAAACAAAAAAAAACAGCAACTTTATAGATGCAGCGCACCTTGCGCCGGTGTGCGCAGCTGCTGCTGATGTCGCAGCAACAACCGCAGCAGCAGCAGCCGTGTACACGCCTTCCAACTGTTCTCACCACGACTGGTGGTGCGGCAGCATTGGGGGGAGGTCGCCGCTGCGTGTCGCTTCCCTCTGCGTGCGGCGCACTGCGGGAGTGCCGCCGCTGCGCGTCGTCGGTGATAACGCGGGGGAAACGCCGCCCCAAGTCCGTGCTTGCAACAGCAACATCCACGCCAACGGTTGAGGTCGCTCAGCGGCGACAGCAGCAGCAGCAGGAACGCCGGTCATCATGGCAAGGAGCGGCAGTGAAAAGTGGAAGGGTAGAAAACGTTGCGAAAGACACTTCGGAAGCAATGACGGCAGTAGTTTCAGCAAAGGCGCAAATGGGAGGAGTGAAAGCGTCTGCTTTCAATGGCACCAACGGTGGTCGTGACGACAACGTTCGTAGCTCAGCCCCAGAGTCAGCAGAAACTACTACTACTACGGCAACAGCAAGAACAGTGGCAGCAGCAATGACGACAGAACGCAGCAGCGGAACCGGCAATCCTGCAGCAGCGGAAATCGGTTCCCTCCTCGACCTCGAGAATCCGCTGAACCTGCGTCTGGCGACCCTCATGCAGCAGCCTGGGAAGGCGTTCCGCGCCATTGCGGTGACGTTTTCCCCGAAGCGCGACCTGAACTTTTCCCTCACGTTTGAGGACGTTGCGTCGAAGGCGACGCTTCGGTGTCGGCTCAACGAGCTGCAGTCGGTGTACTTGCCGTGGGTGCGTCAATTTCGCGCGTCGTGGGTGACGCTCTTTCTGCCGACCCTCTCAGGCGCCAACGCAGTGCTGCTGGAGAACGCACTGCTGTACAACGGCGCGGGCCGTTCCGCTACAACGGGAGCAGTGGGGCAGAAAGAGGTGGAGGAGCCAGATCACTTGCTGCTGTCGTACAGCAAACTTCGCGAGATGCTCTGCAAAAAAAAGCGGGATGAGCAGGTGAACGGCGAGCTGCTCAGCAACGCGGTGCTCAACGCATACGCTGACGACTGGCGGAGTTTCATTCATGCACCAGGCGCCTGCGCGCCCATGGCAATTGTGACAGCGGCGTTTGACTTCCAGCCATGCGTTGGGCAGCCACTGCTGAACAAGCAGCTCTTGCACGCGCAGCTCTCGGTGGTGGCGGCGGCGCTGCAACCGCCGGGTAAGCGCGGTACTCTGTCGTCCTCATCTCGTGGTGGTGGGAAAAGCAGCAGCAGTAATGCGGCAAAGAAGAAGGAATTTTGGATGTTAGTCTTTGTGTCTGCGCCACTACCAAGTGCGTTAACTGCTGGTAGTGCGGCGCCGCCGATGCAGGACCTTCTAACCGGCGAGTTTGTGGAACCGCTGCTGCTGGCGGAGAAGAATGTCATTTATATCATCGGCACCGGCAGCGCGGCGGAGGCATTTGCGCAGTTCCCGCTTGTGCGCAAAGGCAAACAGAAGGTGTCGGTCCTGCTGCAGGACATTGAGAACCAGCTGGGGCTGCGTCGACCAAACCGTCCTACACTCACCATGACGCTCACACAGGCGCTCGATCTCTTCTCACGCTACACGTGGATGGGGCTGATGTATGAAGAGGACGGCACGCTGCGGGTGCCACGGCCTGTGCAAAACTTCACACCGGTGCACCGGCGCTCAGTCACATGTGAAATTGTGCCGAGTTTTCTCGAGTCAGCGCTAGGCCGCGCCCACGCTGGTGTGGGAATAGGAGGGGGAGGAGCAGCAGCGGCAGGAGGAATGCCGGGCGGCCAGACTTTCGCGCAGACAAAGATGAGCCGCCGCCTCGACGAGCATATAAAAGCTATCTTCAACAATGGCGAGCGGCTTGCGCGGGAAAAAGAGTGGCACACTAGACTGCGCGCGTGCAGTTGCTTCTTTTTGGAGGTGAGGTCAGCGAATGTAACGGCAGCACGCCGCGCTGACAATCCCTTCTCCGCCCGCAACGGCATTGTGGAGTTCCACGGGCAGTTGTGGCGCTCCCTTGACACCGAATCGACACCGCCTGTGGAGACGCTAACAGCAAAGGTCGCTGCCAACGGCGACATCAAGTCCTTTGTGGAGTTGCAGCGCTGTATCCCAGATGGCTTGCCGACTGGTAGCAGCAGCAGTGACAAGAAGAACAAGGGTAGTAGCGGCAATTTGGCATCACATCAACTCGCCTCCAATGGCATTATTATAGCATGGGATGTGAAGCGGGCCTTGCTTTTCCTCCGCGAAAGCGGGAAACTGCAGCAGTTCCTTCGTAACGGGGGCCGCATTTGGTGTGCACAGTACGCGCAGTACCTGCTAAAGGGGTTTAACCACCACAATCTGGCGTCCATGGAGCGGACACTGCTGCAGTACCACACTGGAAAGGTCAATTTGCACCCACTGGAAAAACTTAAGATCATTTTTGAGAAGCAGCTCGATATTGCGGTAAACACCCGTCAGCTAATCTCCATTCTCCATCGCATGGACGGCCTCCTTGCCGCTACAGAGATGGAGACTCGCGGGCTACAGCTCGCCCCACAGGCAGATGTAACGGCCTTCTCTCACAACCTGAAGGCCTCGCACGAGAAACTGGAAAAGCTGGTGAATGATAAGATCATGGAGTTCACCACTGGAATGGATGATGAAGTGAGGAAGAGAATTAACTTTCGCTCCCCACAGGACATCAGTACAATAATTTACGGTGGGGCACTCTGTCGTCATTTGGGCGCCCGCTATGTGCCGTTGCAATCTCCGAAGACACCAGTGACGGCGCTCTTTCCGCACGCGGTGTGCTGCGTGACGGCGACGCCAGTTCCCGCATTGTACAAGCAGCCAGAGAGTCTTGTGGGACCTAAGGGGGTGATCAATCGTGGCAGCCGTCCCGCCGCGGTTGGTCCCACCGAGAGTGGGGTGCGGGCGGCAGTGACCGCCATTGAAAAGTACACGTCAGGAAACACGCTGGAGAACCTTCTGCATTGTACCGCCGTTGTAGTGGTGACTTGCAAGGTGCGGCCTGGCAATTTCCTTGAAATGTTCTGCATGCACTGCCCCAGCACCGACCCCAACGGTGAGCTTAAGTACAACGTCGCCATTGACGATGTTGTGCCTGTAACAGATGAGCCGGAGATGCTCACAGTAATCCAGCTCAAGGAAAAGATTGCCAGTTATAAACCGTTGCGGGCACTTCAGCCCCTCAAGAAGTACGGCAAGCGGAGCTACGACCTACGCAACCTACTCATCCTCACGAACTGCTCTCCCGACAGGATCGCCGCGCTTGTGGATACTGGGATTGTGCAGACACTTGCGGAGACGGTGCTGGGGAAGCAGAGTGGTGACAAGGCTTGGGTCGAGCGCGTCTGCTTCTGCGACATACAGCGCGCGCTACCGCCACCACCACAGGGTGCTGACAGCTTTGAAAGCGACTTCCTCGGCCTCGTCGACGTCGCCGAGCACGCCGGTTACTCTGCCCGCAGCAACTGGGAAGCGCTTTCGCGGGACTTCGTCGCTGTAGGCGGCTTCGAGGGCGGACTCAAGGCGCTCGTGTCGCACTGCGCTTCGCTGATGGGCACCGCGCGGGATGCGTTCCGCACGACGCAGCCGCTACCACTCACCCTGGGCGCAGAGCAGCAAGGACTGCATGGGCAAGAGCGCGCCTCCATGCGCGGCCTGCTGTGGCAGGTGACGCCGGATCATCTGCACCCGCTGTTGCATCGCTCACTGCGTGGACGCAATGCGTCGTCGGGCGCCGACGCCATTGAGCGCATCACCGTACTGCTGTCGTCGGAGCAGCATATCGATCTCTCCTTCTTCAAGGCACTGCAACAACTTCGCTTCACTGAGAAAAAAATGCAGCTGTTTGAAGAGGGTGCGCTGTTCCGGGCCGTTCTGCCAGAGTGCAAGGACCGCGTGCATGGCGAGTTGTGTCATACCGTCACCGCCACCGGCCGCCTGTCGTCGCAGTCACCGAATCTGCAAAACATCCCAAAGGAGGAAGACCTGCGGCGCCTCATTGTGTCACGCTTCGGCAGAAGCGAGGGGCGTATGATTGAGGCCGATTACAGCCAGTTGGAGGTAGTGGTGCTCGCAGCTCTCAGCCGCGACACTCGCATGTTGCAAGAGCTGCGGGAAAAGGTGGATTTTCACTGTCTGCGCGTCTCCCTCATGACGAAGGAGCCGTATGCGGACGTGGTGCGCAAGGCAAAGAAGGAGAAGGACCCGCACTACATCCAGCTGCGGCAGCAGGCGAAGACCTTTTCGTTCCAGCGGCAGTATGGAGCCGGCATCGCCACCATTGCGACGACGACAGGACTAACGGAGCACGAGGTAGAGCGCCTCATCGCTGCGGAGGAGCAGCACTACAAGGATCTCGGTCGCTTTTACCGCCTTGTTATGGACTGCGTCGAGGCAGGCGCCGACCGGCTGCTGCGGCTGCGCACACTTGACGCGGCGACGTGGCCACCTGCGATGCGGCGCATGATTCTTCTGACGGAGCCAATACATTATTTTGTGGTGCCGACAGGAAGCAAGTTCGACTTCTCGAAGGACAAGAAGAGCATTCCACGACTGAAAAACTACCCTGTTCAAGGGCTTGCGGGGGAGATTGTGCAGATTATGTGCGGTAGCATCATTCGCCGCTTCTATGCGCGGCGCAACTACAATGACAAGGCCTTTCTGGTGAACACTGTGCACGACTGCGTGTGGATTGACGCCCACGCGTCAGTCGCCGATGAGGTGATGCGTGACGTGTCGGATATCATGTCGTCTACATCAGAGTTCATCAGCACACTCTGGCCCGACATGAAGCTCGATGCGCCGTTCAACGCCGATATTCACATTGGGCCATCGCTTGGCGAGCTCTCACGGTAGGGGCCCTCTGCTGGTGATGAGCACCACTGCGTGACGCACAGCAGCACGTGCAGAGGTATATATATATATATATATATCTTTGTACGTGTATAGAACGTTAGCTTGTGTCGTTGATTTGTGTGGGGTGTGGACCTCGGAATCACATTATAATCCTTTTGGGTGGTTGATTATTACCGTGTGTTTCTGCGTGTGTTTGTGTGTGAGAAAGAGAGAGGAGAAGAAGTGGATGATGATGTGATCTTCCCTGATTTTGGATGTCGAGTTACTTTTTTTTTT